GGCCACGCGCGTACTGCTGCACGTCCTGCTGTGCGTCGCCACCTGCTTACCTCTGAGCGCGCGCACTTTAGTCAGTACAAGAGTGCTCACACCTTGTACGACGCTGTAGTTGCGCGCTACTCTTCCCCTGCCACTGCTGCACTGAACCGCCTTATGCTACCGTACCTCTTTCCTGACCTTGCTGCCTTTCCCACAGTCGCTGACCTCGTTACGCACCTCCGCCTTAGTGACACTCGCTATCGCGCCGCACTTTTTGCTGAGTTTTGCACCAAGAATCCCCCCCCCATGTACATCACTCTCTATTATATAGTCACTCGCCTCCCTGACTCCCTTCGCGTAGTCACGGACCACTTCCTCTCAGTCTGTCCCACCACTCTCACTGTTGACCTCCTAGAGAAGGCCCTCCTAGCAGCGGAGAAGAGCATAGTCAGTGTAGGAGCCTCTCGTGGTGACCCTTGCAACCCCATCTTTGAGGGGTGTTCCCCTTCCCCCCTGTTGCCCTCTGTCGCCTCTGCTGCTGCGGCCGACCTCGTTGGTCTTGAGTCGGTCGGTGCGGCGTCTGCCCCTAGCGGGAGACGCTGCTCTGGCAAGGGCAAGGGGGGCAAGGGCGCGGGTGGGGCTAGCGGGGGTGGTGGAGGTGGCGGTGGGGGCGGCGGGGGGAGTGGGGGTGGCGGTGGGAGTGATGGCTGGGGTGGAGGTGGCGGTGGCAGCGGCGGAGGCGGAGGCGGCGGTGGCGGTAGCGATGGGAGCGGAGGCGGCGGTGGCGGCGGAGGTGGAGGCGGCGGTGGTGGAGGAGGTGGAGCTGGTCGGGGTGGCACTTCTCAGCGGAGCGGCACCGGGAGTGGTATGCGCCAGCAGTAGCAGCACCAGCAGCAGCGTTCTCGGGACATCTCCCCTCCACAGCAGCTCCGTCAGTGGTACACGCAGCGTCAGCGTGGTGGGGGTTTTAGCCCGTGCACCTACGTCCTCCGCTCCGGCGACTGCGCGGGTGAGCAGTGTGGGGGTGCTCACCCCACCCAGCGCTGCTTTGGCCGCCTGACGGACGCTTGGCGTCAGCAGTTCCCGGAGGCTAGTGAGATCCCCCGCTGGGGAGAGCTGTCTAGGGCAGGCGTAGCTATCTTTGATCTTGACTTTGATGCTATCCTTGCTGCCATGTATGCTGTGACTATTAGTGATGAGGGTGACTGTTACCGGTGTTTCCCGCCCGACCCGGGCATTGGTACTGCTGCTCTAGGTACTGGTGAGGCTGCTGCTCTAGGTGCCAGTGCGTCCGCGCCCTCAGGTGCTGGTGAGTCTGCGCTCTCAGGTACCACGTCGGCTTCGGCCTCCCTCACCTTCACACTTGACTCAGGGGCTTCTCGCTCCTTCTTTCGAGACCGCACCACACTCACGCCGCTTGGTCGGCCAGTTGCAGTCTCCATGACAGACCCCTCTGGGGATCCTGTCCTCTCTCACTTCTCCACTGTCCTCCCGTGTCCGGTTGCCCCCTTTGGCACCTTGTCTGGTCTTTACCTCCCCTCGTTCTCTACAAACTTGGTGAGTGGTGCTGACCTGCAGGATACGGGGGTTCACCAGTTCACTCCTGCGAGTCAGCGGGTGACCCACTACACGGACGCTCGGACAGGCCGACACCTGGCCACGTTTACACGTCGGCCGGGGTCGAGCCTGTACACACTGACCACTGAGTCTCCTCCAGTCACTGCGTCTGGTTAGGTAGCTGCCTCGGGTCAGGTGTTTGCTGCAGCGTCCAGGTCTGGTCCTGAGTCTGCCCCCTGCTCGTGTCGCCTCCTGTCTCACGAGACTCTCCTCTGGCACCACCGTCTTGGTCACCCCTCCATGCCTCGTCTCCGCGGCATGGCTTCCCGTGTCCTTGTCTCTGGTCTTCCCCGGTCCCTCCCTCCCCTTCCTCTGGGGCCTGGTCCTTCCTGTGTCCCCTGTGTCGAGGGGCGGCTCCGAGCTGCCCCTCACTCCTCTCAGTTTCCCCCGACAGAGGCCCCGCTGCAGACGCTTCACATGGACGTGTGGGGCCCGGCCCGCGTCCGTGGACAGGGTCACGAGCGCTACTTCCTGCTGGTGGTTGACGACTACTCGCGTTACACCTGAGTCTTCCCCTTGCGCAGCAAGGGTGATGTTGCTGAGGTGTTGATCGACTGGATCCGCGCAGCTCGTCTCCAGCTCAGGAGGAGCTTTGGCTCGGACTTTCTTGTTCTGCGTCTGCACTCTGACCGAGGCGGAGAGTTCTCCTCTGGCCTTCTGCGAGCCTACTGTCGTGCGCGAGGCATCCGCCAGACCTTCATGCTTCCGGACTCTCCACAGCAAAATGGGATTGCTGAGCGCCGCATTGGCATGGTCATGGACGTCGCTCGTACGTCCATGATGCATGCGGCTGCCCCCCATTTTCTGTGGCCGTTTGCGGTTCAGTACGCGGCGCATCAGATCAACCTTCACCCCAGGGTCTCCAGACCGGAGACCTCCCCAACCTTGCTGTGGACGGGGAAGGTCGGCGATGCGTCTGCGTTCCGTGTCTGGGGATCTCGGGCGTTTGTCCGCGACTTGTCTGCGGACAAGCTGTCCCCTCGTGCTGCTCCCTGTGTCTTCCTTGGCTTCCCCCCTGACGCCCCTGGGTGGCAGTTCTACCACCCTACCTCTCGTCGTGTTCTGTCCTCCCAGGACGTCACGTTCGACGAGTCAGTACCCTACTACCGCCTCTTCCCCTACCGCACTCCTTCCCTCCCCCCGCCACCGCACTTCCTTGTGCCATGTCCCCCCCCGGTAGACCCCCTCCCCCCTCAGGGTCCTGCCCCTTCAGGTGTGTCCCAGGTAGATGCAGTCGAGCCGGTCGAGGTTGCTGGTGACTCTGGTACTGCTGCGGGTGCTGAGCCTGGGGGTGCTGACTCTGGGGGTGCTGCGCGCGTAGGTGCTGAGCCTGGGGGTGCTGCGTTTGGGGGTGCTACGACTGGGGGTGCTGAGCCTGGGGGTGCTGAGCCTGGGGGTGCTACGACAGGGGGTGTTGAGCCTGGGGGTGCTACGACTGGGGGTGCTGAGCCTGGGGGTCCTTCGCCTGGGGGTGTTGCGTCTGGAGCTGCTGAGCCTGAGGGTGCTGAGTCTGGAGCTACTGAGCCTGGGGGTGCGGATCCCGCTGCCGCTGGACCTGCTCGTGTGGCGTCTGGCGGTGCTGGGCCTGCTGGTTCTCCGGGTGCTTCGTCTCGGCGGGAGCCTCTCTCTCCACAGGAGCTGCGCGAGTGGTTTGCCCAGCGCAGGAGGCGTACTACTGGAGCTGGTGCTTCTTCGGCTGCTGAGGGTGCTGGTGCCACCGGTCTCGGAGGTGCTCGTCCTGCGAGTGCTACTGGAGTCGGAACTACTGAGGGTGTTGGCGGTGAGGCTACTGCTGTCAGTCCTGGCGGCGGTCCTGCTGCGGGTGCTGCTGGTGCTGCTGGAGGTACTGGAGCTGGAGGTGCTGTTGACGCTGGTGCTGCCGCTGGGGGTGCTGGTGCTGTCCCTGCTGTGTCTGGAGTCGCCGCGCGGCCTCGGCCGTACTTTGTTCCGCTCCTTCAGCAGGTTCTTGGTCTTCCTCCTCCTTTAGAGTGTCCACCGCCTGTCCAGTCGCAGTCACAGTTACCGCCGGCCTCCCCACTGCCTTCTCTTTCTCCCTACACTGGTCCTACTGGAGGTCTTGCTGAGCGTCGTGAGCCTGCGTCTCGTCCTGCGTCGCCTGTTCGTGCTGCTCGCACTAGTGGTCGCAGTTCGCGTCAGCGTCCTCCTCCTGTCCCTGGCACGCACCGGATGTCTCTGCGTCCGTCCACTGCTCCTCTGCGTGCCCCCTTGCCCTCTCCTGCTGAGTCCTCTCTTCCTGTGCTTGCCGACCCTGAGTCGGACTCTCTTCGTGCTGCCAGTCCTACTGTCACGCGTCTCCTTGCTACTGTCGTCACTGACCCCTCCTTTGAGTCCACTGCTGCGTCTGCTCTTGTTGCTGAGCTCGTCGACTTTGCTGCTCGCTGTCGTCTAGACTACGCAGCTAGTCTTGTTGCTGAGTCTGCGCCTGTCTGTCCTCCGTCCGTCGGGGGTGAGTGTGCTCTTGGCACGGACGTCCTTGAGGATAGGCAGGAGGAGTTCAAGTGTCTGGCTGCTGCTTCACCTCATCTCGCGTCCGTACTGCTTACCCCTGAGGGAGACCCGGATGCACTAGACATCCCGACTCCGCGCTCTTACGCGGAGGCCGTAGAGGGTCCCTACTCCTCTCAGTGGCAGGCAGCTATGGATGCAGAGATGGCTTCCTGGAAGTCCACAGGCACCTACGTTGACGCGGTTCCCCCTCCTGGGGCGAACATCGTCAGTGGCATGTGGATCTTCAGGGTGAAGCGGCCGCCGGGCTCTCCACCTGTCTTCAAGGCGCGGTACGTGGCTCGTGGCTTCAGTCAGCGGTAGGGAGTTGACTACTTTCAGACCTTCTCTCCCACCCCGAAGATGACCACTCTTCGGGTGCTGCTACACGTAGGAGCTCAGCGTGGCTACGAGCTTCACTCTCTTGACTTGAGCATCTTCGGAAAAATAGGGTTGGTAGGCAAACTTCGATGGTGGGCAAACTTGAGAATGCGCTATGCCACGCTCCATTCACAATCGGGGTGGGGTCACAACATCGTGCGAATCGTGGTCACAGGTGTGACCTGGAGCTGTTTTCCCGCCATTTGTTTCGTGCACGCTAGGCCTGTCCTACACCCTCTCATTCCAACGTGGCAACCATGTGCTCGTTCGTAGCAACCATGTGCGAGGCTTTCGCGTGATGTGCGAAGTGATCTGCGTGTGTTTGGAGATTCCAAACATCGTCGAGAATCTCGAAAGGTATGCGACACGTCCGTAGTGTGACTTCCAACCAACCCAAACCAAATAACAGTAGTCAATTGTTGCATCTCTCATTTATCCAAGTCTATGCCAGCAAGCTAACTATTGTCTCTGCTCCCGTACAGAGTAACTGGTAGCGCTTCCCACTTACAAACATCGCCATGACCCGCCAGGATGCTCCGTTTTTCGCGGGGAGCGTACTCATCTTGGCATTAATCGCGTCTTTCGTGGCGCTGATTGCGCCGGTTTCCGCGGCAAAGCAGAGTGACTTCCCCGCCTGCTGGTACTCGGGCCTGCTGCCCGTGAAACCGAATGTGACTGTAACGAGGTGCCTGGACGCCGCGGAATGGACGTGCTGCTCTGACTGCGAGGACCGGAAATACGCGGTAGTGGAGGCGTCCACGGATGGCCGCGTTATACTTAATCAAGTCTCGCCGGGGCTCGGCGACAAGTTCACAAACGTCAACATGATGGTACGCGACACAGAGTGACGCTCGTCTCTAGTACAGTAGCGGCTGAGTTTTGAATCCTCGTTGGCGGGGAAAAGCGAGGGAAATCTTGACGAACGTGATGGAGGAAGGGGGGCTTAACAAACTTTTCAGTGCGCGAATATTGACGGGCCGACCGTCTCTCTCCGTGCTCAGTTAGCGCATCCCCCCTCTCCCTCTCCCCATCACCCCTTTTCTCCATTCTGTGCCGCTGTTCCCTGCCAGTTGCCACCACTCCGCGTGTGCTCTCGCTCACATGTGCGCCACTGGCTGCAGTTCGAGTCGCATTTGTGCTGTCTACTCCCTCTCACTTCCTTCCCCTCTCACTTCCTTCCCCTCTCACTTCCTTCACCTCTCACTTCCTTCCCCTCTCACTTCCTTCCTCCCTCACTTTCTTCCTCTCTCCCTCCTCTCCTCTTGCTCTCCCCTCCTCTCGGTTGTCCACGCCGCCACTCCCGAATTCCGTCTCTCCGCGTCTCCGCAAACATGCGCGCACTCCAGCGGCTTCGAGCTGCGCCGTTCCGTCGTCGATCTCCGAGACTTTCACCCACCCTTAGCCGTTATTCCCTCCTCTCCCCCTTCCCTCCTGCAGGAGCACGAGCGGGTCAGTTGCTTGGAAAATGTTGGGTCTTCCAATGATTCCAACGCTTCCACTCACCCGCTCATAATCTTCACCTTTCCCCCCTCCCCCCGTCCGCCTCTCCCCCACTCCCTCCCCGCTCTTCCGCCCTTTCCCCCACCTCCTCCCCCTCCTCCCTCACCTCCTCCCCCTCTTCCCCCACCCCCCCCCCTCCTCGCTCTCCTCCCGCGCAGGTGTGCGCGCAGTTCAGCTTTTTCCAGCAGTGCCATCTCCTCCTGGAGCAGGTCGTGTGCGCGCCATTGGCTGCAGCTCGAGTCGCATTTTTACGCTCTCTCACTCCCTCTCACTTCCTCTCTCACTCGTCTCCTGTCGTGCTCCTATTGGCGCAGGTGTGCACGCAGTTCAGCGAGTTCCAGCAGTGCCAGCTCCTCCTGTCCGCCCCTTCACTCCCGCCCTCCTCATTCTTCCACCCCTTCCCCCTCTCTTCCCCCGCCTCCCGCGCCACCTCCTCCCCCTCTCCCCGCTCTTCCCGCGCAGGTGTGCGCGCAGTTCAGCGAGTTCCAGCAGTGCCAGCTCCTCCTGGAGCAGGTCGTGTGCGCCACGGGGTGCAACCCGGGTGAGTTCGGTGCTACCTGGTTGAGTGAGGTCGAATTACCACTTCGTAGCAGCTCCGCGAGTGGAAAATTATGAGGGTGAGTGATAAGCAACGAGGGTGAGTGATAAGCAACGAGGGCGAGTGACAAGCAACGAGGGCGAGTGATAAGCAACGAGGGCGAGTGATAAGCAACGAGGGCGAGTGATAAGCAACGAGGGCGAGTGATAAGCAACGAGGGCGAGTGAGAAGCAATGAGGGCGAATGGCGGTGACTTTGTGTTGGATGCGGTACGCAGTCTGTGTGACTCGTAAACCTTCTCTGTTGAGTGAGCCAGATTTCTCCCCTTTCCTCCTCACTTTCTCTTTCCACCCAAATTCTCTTCCCTCTCCCACCCCGCTACTCCCCACATTCTCTCTCCCCGCGCTCCTGTCAGAAAGACCGGCCGCTGCTTCACCCACTTCCCTCACCCATCCATCCACTTCCCTCACCCATCCACTCGCTTCCCTCACCCATCCACCCGGTTCCCTCACCCATCCACCCACTTCCCTCACCTATCCACCCGCTTCCCTCACCCATCCACCCACTTCCCTCACCCATCCACCCGCTTCCCTCACCCATCCACCCGGTTCCCTCACCCATCCACCCGGTTCCCTCACCCATCCACCCGCTTCCCTCACCCATCCACCCACTTGCTCACTGACTCTGGTCAACCCACCCACCACCCCCTCCTCCACCCCACGCGCCCCCCACAGATTCGGGCAGCTACTTCAAGCTGGTCAACGGCACGCGCGTCATGCAGGTCTGCAACGCCTTCTCGCAGACCGTCTACCAGACCTGCAAGGGGCTCACACGTGAGTAGACTCTTTTCTTCAGGTGATTTCTGTGTTAGAGTGCCTATGTTGCGCGTCATGCATGCCTTCAACCTCCCAGACCGTCCCATATACACCCTTTTAATTCGTGTGACTTCTGTTTTACGCACCTATGACCCATGTCATGCTGTGCAGGCCTGCAACCTCTCAGACCGTATACCAAACCTGCAAGCGGCGCAAATGCGAGCCCTGCCAGGCCTATCCATCATCCATCCATGCATCCTTCGCTTCACCCCTCCCTCCCTCTTCTCGCCTCCCTTCCGCTCCCTTCTTCTCCCTCTTACCCTACCTCTCCCTCTTCCTCTCCACCTTCACCCCCCCTCTCCCCCCCAGCCCCCACCACCACTCCCTTCTCCCCCTACTCATTCCCCACTCGCCACAACACGGTAGTGCCAGGAGTGGCGACGCTCGACAGGTTCTTCCCAACACCCGAGCGATTCATGGAGGGCCTGTTGGGCAAGGTGGGCACCGCCTGTGGCACCCTCTCTCCATCTTCACCTTTCGCCCTCATCTCTCCCCTCCTTTCCCACTCGCAGTGCCTGGTGTCGCCACACTTGACAAGTTCTTCCCCACAGCCGAGCGCTTCATGGAGGACCTGTTCGGCAAGGTGGGCACGGCGTTTGGCGTCTACAACTTCACAGTCGCCGTCACACCAGACGCCTCTGACCAGACCCAGTGCTACAACGGGCCCAAGAAGCTGCCCCCCATGCCCTTCTGCTGCGACCCGCTTCCCATCCCCATTGAGAAGTGCCCCGCTAAGGTTATGAACTTCACCGAGTATCCCACTATGAGGCAGTATATTAATAGGACGGTCACTGACAGGCAGTGTGATAAGTTCAAGTGCAGCAACAGCGGCGGCGATGGCAGTGCTGCTGCTGGTGTTGGTGGTGGCACAAGCACGAAGCTGAATGGCATCACATCACCTACTGACTGTATTCCTACAAGCAACACTGGTGGCAGCAGCAGTGGTGGTGCTAATTCGAGCAGCAACAGCAGTGGTGGTGCTGATTTGAGCAGCAGCAGCAGTGGTGGTGCTGATTCGAGCAGCAGCAGCAGTGGTGGTGCTGATTCGAGCAGCAGCAGCAGTGGTGGCTCCCCGTCTGGTTCGAGTGGGGTAAAGATCTCCCATCGCCTGCATGCCACGGCTAATTTTGTTGCTGTGATGGTGATGCTCGCAGTGCTGGCACTGCTGTGAGTGCAGGGCCCTTGATGGCCGACATTTCCTCACTTGCCTACACACCATGTATCATAACGGAGTCTGAAAGAAGGCCAAAGCGTGCAGTTGTTCGCAGCATTGTAATAATCCCTTACAAATCCCACTCAGCGTAAATTTGCCTTCACAACTCTGGACATCATACGGTAATAAATTTCAAGAGCTGTCGTTTGGTATTTACATCATTGATTAATTAGAAAATATCCTTTGACCGCCTGCGGCCATAATAAAACCTTAACTGTCCCTACATTAACGCCTAACCCTGAGCTACCTACTCCCCAAGGAATCACAGTTTATATCCTTTCCCTAAAACCACCACACCATATTCTCAGTTGCTACGTTCCAACACATTCACTCACATTCGGCAGAGCACAAATAACAGCAGCACCATCCTTGACATTTGGGCACCCAGAGATGATAAGTGTTTTGAGCTTGGACAGCTTGGTGATGGAAGCATGCAAGCGTTCTAGGTGTTGGAAACAATAAGTCTTAGTGCGCTTCTGTCGTGTCAAAACCCAAGACACTAGCGAAGCAGTCCGAATCGAAGCATCGAGTCAAACCTCGGAGGTTAGGGTAACCGCCTGGAGGTTACAGGAAAGTCAAAGGTCAGCGACCTTTGACTCGACAATTACAGCGCGACAGTTAAGGACACACAACTGACTCGTTACAGAGCAGTTGCCCGAGTCGCACTGTATCGAATCGCAACAGCAAATACAGTTATCTATCCATTCGTATTCCCTGTACTCTTATATAAAACCTTGTATTTGCTTGCTTAATTTAATCCACTTTGCTCTCACACACTAGTGCAAGGTCGGTTCACAAACTTCATTAAATGCTTCCGCTATTACAAATATCCTACCCAGAGTTATCCTCTGCAAAGATCCTTAAGGGCTTTCTCAGCCCAATATGGTATGAGAGCTGACAGGGGAAAACTCTAACTTTTTTATCATTACAAGACATGGCAACAAACAAGGAAAGGAGCTCCCCTAATGGCTCCTCGGGCACTACTCCTACTCCACCGCCAGCCTCTGGCCTGCAGACAGAGGAAGGCACGGCAGCAAGACCAAGGGGAACGTCAACCGAGACCCCCACGAACCATCCTTCTGACTTCGACCAGAGCATGATGGAGAAATTTTTCTCCTTCATGTCCTTCTACGAGCAACACCAGCAGTCGGGACCTGCACAGACACACAACAGCAACAACGGAGCGACACCCATGAGCCTTGACGGATCGTCATATGCGCGAGGGAATCAACAGCAGCAACCCACCTTTGCCCCGTACGAGCGCGGGTCGATCAGCTTCCTGCCTCAACCTTCACCTGCGCAAGACAAACCAATGGACGCTTTACAAGTTCAGTCACAATTCGCGCATGTCCTGAAACTGCAAACATCAAGACCCTTCGACGGAAAGGACTTCTTCACCTGGTCCTTTGAATTCGAGCTGATGATGGAGGGCGCGCAGATACTCGGCTTCTTCGACGGATCCCTGCAGTATCCAGCAAACGGCACACAGTATGAGAAGCAGCAGTATACGTATCAATCGATGATGGCGTATACTATTCTACTGAGAAACATCACACCAACTCAGCAGCAGAACATTCGCTCTTACCGGAACTTCGGCAACTCGGCGGAACTCGCGTACGGCCATCTGAAGAACCTGTATCAGGCAACAGACAGTGTAAGCCAGAGCAGGTTAATGGCGCAATTGACAACAGTTGAAATGAAACCAGGAGAAAAGGGACTGGCGTATATCAGCCGATGTCGCGAATTGCGCGACAAGCTTCTTCGATGCGGAGGATCAATTTCTGAAGACGCCTTCGTGACAGTCATCATCGGTGGCCTCGGTCCTCAGTGGCGCGCCACCAAAGCAATTCTTCGAGCCCACGGAAGAATCTCTGAAGCAGCACTTTGCGCCGAAATCCACGCCGAGCAGCAGGACATGGACCTGCAAGAAGAAAGGCACAAGAAAAGGGCATTAGCACCGGAGTTCGCTTTCCATACTCAGCGACGACACAACTACTACAACAACCGACAGCAGCAGCCGAAGCCAGTACCTCCGTTTTGTCACATCTGCAAAACATCAGGACATCCACGCACGCATTGCTCGTCCCGTCAGATAACACCACAGCGACAACTGCGGCCTTCAAGCTCCCAAGTTGCTTCGACACAAGCAAGTCCGACAACCACGATTCAAGCTTCAACGACTTCAACTGGACAACCTGCACAAGGAGCAAGAAACATAGTCAACTGCTTGGTCAAGATAAACGATTCTTGCATAACAGAGTCACCACCCCACTACTCACCAGAAGAGGAGCTCGACAACAGGACGCCCCGCCGCGAATCACTCCACCCGAATCCGACTTACGCCGCCATCGCTCAAAGTGAACCGTCCGGCCAAGACACTTGGTTCTTGGATAGTTGCTGCGGGCAACACATGTGCTCGTCCGGACGCTTCGTACAACGCGAACACCGACTCCAACGAGAAGTTGTCATCACAGTCGCCAACAATCAAAACCTGCGCACACGACGACAAGGAGTGGTACAGCTTCAGTCAAGAGAAACAAATGTCATACTGCACATGTCAAAGGTACTCATCGCTGAAGGACTCGGTTACAACTTACTGAGTGTTAGCCAGTTGATGGCGAAGGGGATTCACCTTGAAGCCGACAGCACCACCCAAGAGTTCAAGCTATACCACGGGAGAGGCGGTCTCTACATCGGGAAAGCAGTATTGAAGAACAACGTCTTCGTCCTCGACTTCGTTCCTAACCTGGGCACTGCAGACAGCGGCGCCATCGTGAACTTTACTGACTGGACACACCCTCCAGATCTCGACCCCGACTTCAGCTCGGGAGGTTATTGGTACTCCCACACTATCCCTGAAGCAGAACGAACACGAGCGTTAGCGACGATTCAACAAACAACAGAAGCAGAGACAACATCGGCAGCAGCAACAACATCGGCAGCAGCAACAACATCGGCAGCAGCAACAACATCGGCAGCAGCAGCAACAACATCGGGAGCAGCGACAACATCAGCAGCAGCAGGAACAACGACACCAGTCACAGTCGACGAAGCACCACCAACACCCGCACAACAGCTAAATCCGACTCAACGCGAAGTCCACCGAAGCGCCAACTTCGTCGCCAGTTTTTACTCCAACTCCGACGCATACCAACGTTCACCCAGACACCGTGCCTCTGAAGAGATCTGGCACGCACGCACAGGACATCCAAGCAACACGGTTTTAAATAACACGATAAGAGCAGGATTTCTTGACAAAGACTCTCTACTTCTACCCGATGGCAGAGAACTCCAAAAGGCACGAGGGACTTGCCTTACATGCCCCGAAGCTGACTTACCTCATCGACCATTCGCTCCACATCACAACCCGAGCGCACCAGCGTACGCACCACTTGAAAAGGTTTACAGCGACATCCTCTACAATCGCGAACCAGGACAAGTCAACTACAACTACACCATCACCTTCATCGACGCCGCCACTCGATACGTCTGGCATCGTAATCTACCCAGCCGCGACATGGCGCTCGCAGCATTCGCCGCCTGGCTACCGATAGCAGAGAGAGAGTCTGGAACGCAACTGAAAAGCTTCCAGTCAGACGGAGGTGGCGAGTACACCTCTCAGCGCTTCAAGCAGTTCCTGGCAAAAAGGGGGATCAAGCAACTCCTCTCCCTTCCCTACGCACATCAGCAGCAAGGTGTTGCAGAATGAATGAACAGGACCCTGCAGAACAGCATGCGCAAACTGTTACGTGGCATGCGGCTACCCAACCACTAGTGGCCAGCAGCAATGGACCATGCTGTCATGCTGCACAACTTGTTGTCGTCGTCGTCACTCCCGAACAACACATCACCGCATCTGCTGTGGACAGGGAAGCAGGGCAGCACAAAAATGTTACGAGTTTTCGGGTGCATGGTACAGTACAGACCCCCAGAAGCACGAGCGGGAAGATTTTCACAACGGGCACAGTGGGGACTACACCTTGGCATCGAGAAAAATTACAACGCGTGGAGAATCTTCGACGTCCACACAAAAGAAACAGTAGCAGCACGTGATGTGATCTTCTACGAACGACTCACCCTTCAAACGTACCTCGCCAACTTGCACGAGAATCGGGACCTCACCAGTGGCTTTCGTGGTGACCGAGCCTTCGCGTCAACAGCGGATGAAGCAGACTGGGATGAGCAGAACGTCGACAACGCATCGGAGGAAGCCGGACCTCTTCCGTACTACTCCGTCGACGTGCCCATGGATGAGGAAAATCCTCGCGACAGTAACAACGCCGAAGTCTTCTACCATTTCGCCGACAATGGTTACGTAACACCTGCGACAGTCAACACCAACGAAGCAGAAAGGGTAGGGCCAAATTTCATACCCGACCTAGAAGTGGGAGACGAAGCAGCTTATCCCGAGGATCCAGAACTCCCTCGATACTCACAGACTGGACTGCAAATCCTTGGTCTCGTCACCGCAGTCCATGGCGCCGCCATTCCTAAGGAGCCTGCGACGGTTCAACAGGCTCTGGAGGGGGAACATAGGGAGAAATGGCGTGAAGCCATGGACAAAGAGCTGAAGGCATTGGAGGAGCGCAATACCTGGAAAATCGTTCCCATCGGCGTAGCACAAAACAAAACTATCCTTACCGGGAAGTGGGTCTTCCGTGTGAAGACGAAAGCTGACGGCACCATCGACAAATTCAAAGCTCGCTGGGTCGTACGCGGCTTTGACCAGGAGCACGGAAGAGATTACACCGAAACCTTCGCTCCGGTCAGCCGTCACACCTCACTCCGAATCCTCATCGCCGTCGCCGCCATGAAGAAAAAAAAACTGCGACAAATCGACATCGCAAACGCATTTCTCTACGCACCTGTGGATGCAGAAATCTTCGTCGAGCTCCCGCACGGCTCCCACGGCGAACCCAACCGAGTCTGTCAACTGCTTAAGTCGCTCTACGGGATCA